TGTGTGTGTGTGTGTGTGTGTGTGTGTGTGTGTGTGTGTGTGTGTGTGTGTGTGTGTGCGCTTAAATGTAAAGTAACAGAGATAGTTTGAGGTTCAGAAAAATAATTAGATAAATATTAACTCTGGAGGAAAACTATAATTTTCTATTGAAACTCATCTAAATGTTTCGGAAAAAACTAGTCTAAGCTACTAGACACCCCCTCTTAAAATGTAAAAGTGTGTTTTTTAAATAAACAGAACTTTTCTGAGCTGTCTACAGCACCATAGCCCTGAAAGGTAATTAGAGATATAATCAAAAAAGCTTAAAGAAAACAATTAACCTAAAGCAGAAATTAAACAACCTCTCTTAAGTGCCACCAATCATTCCTGCAGATGTTTTGACATATGTTTGGTGATTTAGTTAAATTATTTAATTACGCCTCACACTGAAAGAAGGAGAGCAATAAAGCTGAGAGAGGTTCTGGTGTAATAAACCATTAGCTGGAGGAAACAGCCACCGGTGTGTACAGTAATGCAGTGTAAATCACCACAGAGTGGCTGCCATTTGGAGACTTAATTCTGGCCAGAAACCTGCCGTCAGCTGCCGGGGGCCCTGATCCGGTTCAGAGTGGAACCAGATCCGGCAAGCAGAGGTGTTTAGGGCCGTCAAAGCGGGAGGAAGAGGAAGGGTGCCGGGGAACAGCTGAGGAAATTCCCAGAATACAAGTGTGTGTGAGTGTGTGTGTGTGTGTGTGCCTGCCCCCCACAGGTCTCTCTCCTGTAGGATAATAGTGGTAAGGAGAAGCAGCAGGATTCGGCCTCATCCCTCTTCATTCTCAGACAGCTCATATTCTTCTGCTAAGTGACCCTCCTCAGTCATCCCGTGGCTCTCTCTCTCACACACACATATAAGAGCTATATATATTTATGTATATCTATATTTAAATGTACATATACATATATATACAGATAAAAGTTGCAGAGTGTGCTTGCTGCTTGCTTCACACATAAGAGAGATTCCCAAAGAACTAATGGCTGCTTTAATTCAAGACTTGGTTCGAGACTTGGTTCTCATTTGCAAGTTATACATATAGCTAAATATAATAAATTCTCATAAGAATATTAAAAGGATGATCAAGTTAACACACAATATAAAACATAAACATAAACATGAGCAATGTAACCCATAATATTTTAATTACAAGATTTAGAGCTCCAAAATCAGGAAAAGAAAATAACTCCTGACATTGTCTGAGTTGAGTGTAGTGGGGTTTATAAATAAATTTAAAAAACAGCTGTATTGAGAAGTATACATGTAAATGCAGAAATGTAAATACGGAATGTAAACACAAAATGTGTGAATATATATATATATATATAAATATTTTTTTTAAATATTT